TATCATGCTCAGTCCCCACCAGGGTTTCAGCAATTCCTCTTTGTTTCATTACTCTTGATCATGCCCTACCAGGCCTCCCATACCCACCTCACCACCAATTTGGATCACTTGTTTTTCCTTTGTCCCTTGGTTTGTTAACACCCCTTCCTTTCCTCCCACCTTCCCCTCTCCCATGTCCCCCTGGAACTGTCAGTCCTGTTGTTTTCTCCTCCAGATTGTTCATCTAGCCTATCTTATTTAGTCAGACCTGCGGTGATAATAACATGCACAAAAACAAGACAAAGCAAAACCAAGCAACAATATACAACAAAATAACAACCACAAACCAATGACAAAAAACAAAACACAAAAAAGAAAAGCTTGTAGTTATTTCAAGGACCGTTTGTTGTAAAAAAAGCCATATTTCTAGTCCAAACATGAGCTATTATATCTGTTAATAGCATAAAACACCATTTGTAAATGTGACTTTATATACTTGCCGTAGACTGCGTTCTTTAGAGAAGCAAAACCAATGAAGCTTATATATGTATATATATATAGAGAGAAAGAGGTTTATCTTAAGAAAATCACTCACATGGTTATAAAAGCAGGCAAGTTCCAAGTCTATAGGTCAGATGTCAGACTGCCTTGCAAAGTTGCAGGAGCTGATGAATCAGCGGGTTAGGCTTTTGGCTGCAGAGGTGAATGAATCCAAAGTTGGCAGGTAAGAAGGCAGGCCGCTGATGAGTTCCAGAATTGGCAGGCAGCATAGGAGGCCTCTAGCTCAAGTCTGAAGAACTGGAGATGATGATCAGCCAGACGAAGGATACAAAGCCAGCAAAAAGATAGCACGCTTTTCAAAAGTTTAGCTTATATTGGAAGCTGTCTCTTCCCCTGAGATAGCGTCCTGCCAGTGGATTGACTGCTCATAGCAGATCTCACAATGGAGGTGATTATATTATGTTAGATCTCATAACTGACGAATCACTGAGAATCCTGGCCAACCAAAGTTGGCACAGAATCTTAACGAATACAGCACTTAAAACACTTTTTATAACCTTGATTAAAACAAATAAGAAAAAGGAAAAGAAAAGAAACCTTGATTCTTGATATTGTCTTTATTCAATATGAATTTTCAGTATTCTGTCTAGTGTAGTTCTCGTGAAACTAGTGCCTTTTCATCCTACTTTACCAGTCTCCTTCACAGAAAAGGCAAGTACTCACTTGTTTGAAATGTATTGTACTAAAGTCCTGTATGCCAATGAATAGTATTCTTTTTAATTAAAACCTTTTAAAAATATCAAACTTGCAGAAAAGTTGTAATAATATTACAGAGAACTTCTGTGCTCATTGCTTATAGTTTTGATCAGGTAGGTGCTACAACTTATTTCTTAAGTTGATTTTTAAGTATTTATTGCTTTGTTGCTACTGAAAATTGAACCTCACCTTCCATACTATCTTCTACTGTTAATCATTGGTGAATGAAAAATTATTGATTTTTTAAAAGCCTTTTTGTTATAATTGACATGTTTAATTGCACATCTAAAATGTAAATTTTGTCAAGTTTTAACCTTTGTTTACAGTAGTGAAATCATTATGATAATCAAGAGAATGAAATAATCCATCATCCCCAACTTATATATGGCATGGACAATTGCAACCCAATTTCCAGTGGCGATACCATTTTACAGTCCTACCAACAATGAATATATGAGGAAGTTTTCCCTTATTGTTGCCAGCATTTTGTGTTGTCACTATGTTTTATTTTAGCCATTCTAACGGGTATGTAGTGGGATCTCATTTTGGTTTTAATTAGCATTTGAATTTGCATAAAGAATGTTG